TATCAAAGCATTCAGGCTTGTAGTTTTCAAGAAGAAGTCGAAAAAGTAAAACATTGACACGGACGACGACGGACGACGACGGACAATCACTCATATGATAAGCTCCGCTCGACAAAGTCGACAGCGGAGCTAAAAAGGCAAAGTTTAGTCTGTTAATTCTTCATTTTTTATAGAGAATTGTCGCTATGAATAAAACACAAGATGATGAACTTACAGCTAAAGAGTTGTCAGAAGAAGAAATCAGACAGATAGCTGGTAAGAAATGTCATGTTCATGTCACATATGTTTATCAGTAATTTGACTGCAGCGAGAAAGACATTCTCTAGATGTCCCATGTTTGTTGTCACCTGTATGGTAATGATCTCACCCAACCATAAAATGTTATGTTGTCAGCCAACTCAAATTGCTTCTAAAATGCGATAGCATGGCCATTGGCTTCTCATTAATTTTATGCCTTTCACAAACCCAACTCGTCCACTCAATCTGGGAAGTGCAATTCCTGACTGATGCAATTTTTGTTTTTATTCCCTTTGCTGCAAATGGCTTCTTGGTCTTTGGACAAAGTGAAAACGTGCAGTTGCAAATTTAAGTTCATTCTCAAGGCTTGATGATGAAATTTCTGGAATAATAAAAACTCTGCTGTTTTCCATGTTTAATATGAAACAAGACTTTTAGGATTCATAATAAATGAACCACACACAACAGACAAGTTTTGGGAAAGGCTAAATAAACAGCATACATTACATTTTAATGCAACTTGTTAACAGGAAAGTGTTGACAAGTGTCACTGTTCTTTTGTGTTGTAACCCTGATAAATTGTGAACATCTAAATCTCTATTGTTGTGGTTTGAATACAGCAACACAAGCTGATAATGTCTCAATGGTGTAAGCATGGTGCTAAGTTTATTTCTCATTATGCAACATAGTTGAGTTGGCATTGTCTTAGTGGTGGTAGTGGGTTTACACTTCCTGGTAGGCAGTCAAACATAAAATTTTGCTGTATTAATGTTTGCAATTTGATTGGGGATAAAATTTCGTCAGTCCTTTGCAATTATTCCTTTTGTGTGAAAATGTCTTCAAATAAAAGCAGTTTGCACATTATTACTTTAATAAATGTATCTGGCTTGTTGAAAGGTCTCGCTATTACTGTATCTGCTTATTGTATCACTTTGATATTTCAGAAATTGTAAATTTGTGTTCATTGATTGCTTAATACGAAAAACGAAAACTTGCGATGTTATCATCATCCCGAGCACTGAATATTCAATAAATTTGGTGTTATCCATTAGATACGTGCAGGTGTTGAGTGTTTTGCCTTCTGTACTATGGTCCACTTCTTACACCATACATTTTAAGGTCTTAACCCCATATCTTTTGAAAATTGTCCAAAAAAAACATTGACGCGTGTCTAGTTTTGTTTATTCACTTACGGAACAGCTACATTTCAGGAATTGATATCCTTTTGGTTTAAGGTCTTGCCAGGTTTGAATTTAAAACCGTTTTTTGTCCGCTTACAAGCAAGATTGGAATTGAATAGCCTGTGTCTGTTGTGAAAAGGCCACTACCAAATATAAATTTTGAATTTATTTTTGTTTTGTGATTTATTATTGGTGAATATGCATCAAACAGAATAAATTTTTCATCTGGAACCACCTGTCTGAATTAGGTCATTATGTGAACAAGTTTGTCCTTCCAGTTGGGCATTATCATGAAAGTTTGGATTCCTAGAGTGTAGAAGTTTAAATCATGACAAGATGGTTACCCAAGTTTTGAAAGTTCAAGTGTTGTGGGAACCAACCTTGTGATAAAATGAAATTTGCTTAAGTATTGTATGTCTACGATTACGTTAATGTTTTTACAACAAATTCCCTAACACGGGAGTGCTATCACTTTATTCCAAACCTATGTGACCTATAGCATGCCTACAGTAATCCATCACTAGAAATCCATGCTTTATTGTTATGCAAATCGGGAAACAAAAGGGTGTGCTTTTCACAAGTCCTGGTTATCCTATTGTTTACATTGGTTTGGGTATTGTATATACACATAGCAATTAACATGTCAATATGGCTTCTTTTGGCACAAGAGGCTTGGGTGTTTCACACAGATTAAATATCACAGTATAAATTATCACCTGAGATGTGGTATTGAGTTTATTCTCAGCTTGGCTTTCTCCTTGATAACATCAAGCTATAACGCAAGCAAAAAGAAGCCTACTTTTATTCAAACATTTCAGTTAACTCTGTTAAAGGAATCGTGCGATTTGGTTCCTTGGAAATAATTGTCTTAGTTCTTGGATCTATAATTACCGTGTGGTTTTTAGAACAGGAAAGCAGATTAAGTTGGCTACAGAAGCGGATGTCGAGTCCTAGATTGCAATCGTAGCTTTCCAGATTTCTTGTAATGATTCTCCATCTCCCCTCGCTCCATTTGCAGAGGACGATTTCTATGAAAAATTGGCCACGTCCATTGCACCTGAAATCTATGGACATGAGGACATCAAAAAAGCTTTGCTGCTCTTGCTGGTTGGTGGAGTTGACAGGTCACCCAAAGGAATGAAGATCAGAGGTATGTCCCAAAATTTTGTGATTCTGCTAGTTTAGTTTGTTCATACAATTGGTCAACACTACCCCAAAACCCCCAGCCTTGTCTCTCGCTCTAAATAGTGTTTTGAAACTGATCATTGGTGTTGAATCACAGTTCAACAAAATGTTGTGACAATAAATACGATATCTTCCCAACAGGCAACATCAATATCTGTTTGATGGGAGATCCTGGTGTAGCCAAGAGTCAGTTGTTGTCTTATCTTGACAGACTGGCTGCTCGAAGTAAGTACTAGTGTTTTGTTGTCTTGCGTGCATGTCAAATGGTTGGGCTATGTTTGTTCTTATCTTTACCTTTATCTTGCCTACTCTTTTGTTATGAATTGTTCTTGTTGCAATTCCAATACATAACTGTTGAACTGTGGAAACAATTATTTTGTGGTTATTTACGCCTATGGTTATTACGCTATTAGTACATAGCTTACCAAAAAAAAACTTGATCACGAAAACCAGGGACCTGTCATACAAAACCATGTTGCCTTGACGAACTACTGACTAAAAAGTAACGACATAAAGTTTCTTTGCTGTAGTTGCAACGGTTTAAGTATCAAATAACAGTGTAGTATATCTGTAATGTTTATTGTAGAATAGGATACCCACTTGAATGCATACCTTGATAACAAAGGCTGAGATAACTATCCTAATAACTGACTGATCACCTTTAAGTTATTCGCATTTTGCAAGTTTTATTCAGATTATCTCCTTCTGTTATAGCAGCTGCCCAAGAAAATTTAATTGAATTTCCTTGTTAATGATTTAAGTTGTATATATTCATAGTTGTTTTATTCAGCAACATGTTCAGTATGTTTCCAGGAAGTCTCGATGAGCATCTTTTAATGTTTGTTGCGTCTTGTTTGACAAGCTGGTTTTGATATCAGATTTTCCTTGCATATTGTAATTTTGTAACAGGTGAGGTCATCAGTTGACAGTTGTTCAACAAAATTGCAATTGCATGGAGTTGAGACTTTGCCATTAGAGGTGTAATTTGATAATTATTTTGTAATGAATTCCTCAGGTCAGTACACAACTGGGCGTGGATCATCAGGTGTGGGCTTGACTGCAGCCGTGATGAGAGATGACATCACCGGTGAAATGACCCTAGAGGGAGGATCATTGGTTCTTGCTGACCAAGGAGTGTGCTGTATTGACGAGTTTGACAAAATGATGGATGGTGATAGAACGGCTATCCATGAAGTAATGGAACAGCAAACGATATCCATAGCGAAGGTAAGCTCAATATCTGTCTATTCTGATGATTGGTTGAATTAGTGATATTCGTTACTTCCAAATTTTTGTATGATTGAGCAAGTTTTAGAACACATTAACCACAAAACTGTTTCCTGTCATGTTAAAATTTGTTTTCAAACCAAATGCATGTCCTCAATCCACCTTGAAAGCTGCTTCATGAGAAACATTGCAAATGCATAAAAAATGTGGTCTCTTGTGGCGTTGCATGGTCACCTCAAGAAAGCCCATAAAATGTCATTCCAGCTGAATTGCAGCTGACTAGTCTTGAAAAGTGCCAGCCAGCATAATTATCAGTCTGTTTTTCATTCCTACTTAATATAGGCTGGTATTATGACATCACTTAATGCTCGTGTATCGATCTTAGCCGCTGCTAATCCTGCGTATGGAAGATATAATCCAAAAAAATCCATAGAACATAATATTCAGTTACCGGCTGCCTTGCTGTCCAGGTTTGATTTGCTCTGGTTGATCCAAGACAAACCGGACAGAGACAATGACTTGAGGTAAGTAACTTGTGTTCAATAATACTAGTATAAATCAAAAATCTATCTAGACTCAATTCCCCAGTAAGGCTACATGTGCATGTCAAAGCGCTTTGTTTCATTCTTATCAGATGTCTAAATTAGCAAATCCTAAATTTGAATATATGTAATAAGTTTTATTTATTTAAATGAAACAATTTGTGATAAACAATGTTATGTGTCAGGGATCCCTATTATTGAGGCCTTGGCTCTGTCTCTGTGGTGTGTAAACGTGTGCTGTTCTATAATGTTTAAAGGAGATAATTTTTTTGAATCTCAACGTTGGGAGTTTCACCAAACCATACACTACCGTGATGTGTCAAATTTGTAACAGGGTTTACCATGTTTGGTGCAAGAAAATCTGTTGTGTGGAACGCCACTGGATTGCGCAATTAGTTAAGTAATTGATCTAATTGCACTTTACAGTGGTGTTCTAATCTCCAGCCTATCATCGTAAAGTTTTAGGATTGTGCAAGTATTTTACCGATATGGGGGAATACGGTTGGTTTGGGTCTCATCGATTTTCATGGACTGATTTGATATGAATAACATGTAATACTGCATCCTTAATATGGCCCAAGTACCTGTTGGAGACTGTCTGTTCAGTGTTTATTCTGCAAACAGGTACATTGTGGCAGCCTTGGTTGCTATTGCATGATAGAGTGGCTACAGCCAATATGAGGAAGTTGCATGCCTCTGTAAAAAGGGGGGGTCCTATGAATGGTGTCCCAAATAACATCTGTTGGGTGGACCCTCTCAATGGAGAGTAAATTGGCAATTGTCGACATCTAATTGCACTTCATTGTGGGGCTTCAAACTATCATATTGAGTCTTCAGCAGCAGCATAGTTGTATCTTGGGGCCGAGCTTTGTCACAGAACGTTCTGTTGCTTGGATGTGCACCATTGTACAGCATGTTTCTATAGGCTCAGTGTGAGCTGCTGTGGAAATTAAGTCAAGAAGCCAATAAAGAAAATATCACAAACGCAATCTAATCCTGAGTAACCCAAATTTCTATACGTTACGCATGTAGTGGTACTCGTGTCACACTGTTCAGAAGTATGATGATGGTCGCCAGGCGATGAAATTGCCTAGATGTCCGCCATCGAGAATTGGCTGGACTTGAATACCGAATGTCTACTGGAGTTGAACAAGTTCTGTTCAGCAGCACTGTGTTGAGTGTATCCTCTCTATTGAGTACAACTGTGGATAGATCACATCTCGCATTGCACTCAATAGTGGGGCTCCTTTCAGCACCTGATATCCTCATCTATGATTGGAAGATAGCAGAATGGTTTCTGTTTAGTTTGGATCTCCATTATTGTATGCTATTAGTGATGATACTGGTCTAATTGCACGCAATAGTGGGGTTCTTAACAAATACCCATCCTGCCTGCCACCCTGGATTCAACATAGAGGCAACTCCCCATTTTTAGTGCCTTCCATGCGAGGATGTAAGCCTGTTGTGTGAATTTCTTACTTCTGTGTTAATACATATGCAGCCTCACTCTCAAGTGCAAGAGGATTGATCACTGATGTCCATTGCACTTAATAGTGGGGCTTTGTGTGTATTATTGTCAACCTGTGATTTCATGTTGCCAAAATCCATAGATGTGGCATTTTAGTGTTCACACAGAAGTCAACATGGTGGAGTCAACTTTTGTTAACGTTTCTGAAGGGATGTTGTCTTGGTGTTAAAATATGTGATGTCGTCTTAGTGCTGAAGATGTTATCTTTGGACTTTCATAGTTGCTGTTGTGAATGGAAAATAAAATAAAACTAAACGATTGTTTTTTTTTTTTTTTTGGGTTAGCCCAACACATCACCTTCGTGCATCAGCATTCGGTACAGCCACCATCACAATTTAAACCTTTAGATATGAATTTAATGCGGTAAGTAATCTGTTCTAGGTGACCTTAATTTCTACAATATTGGCTGCGCTTTGACATTTCTAATGAGTTAATGAATGGTCAACTTTGAGGTCATTGTTGGTTAGTTTGGTTTTCCAAATCAATCACATTGAGCTTCAGTTTTGCAAAATTTACAAGCACTGTAAGTAACCTTAATGTTTTATTTCAGTCGTTACATTGCTCTTTGCAAGACAAAAATCCCCATCGTGCCTGAAACACTAACCGACTACATTACAGGAGCATACGTTGAGATGAGGAAAGAAGCCAGAAATAGTAAAGACACCACATTCACGTCTCCTCGTACACTGTTAGCTATCCTGCGATTAGCAACTGCTCTGGTAAGTTGATGTAGTTATTTTACCATTTGGTTGGTGTCGCTGTATTAAGCATAATTCTAGTTATTTCTAAGGAAAGGTGTGCACGGAGTAAGAAAGTGTATAATTACCTTGCCAATTGTATGCTGCTATGTAGAGACGACTGTAGGCGTTTATTCCCTTCATCCCGTTGATGTCTTGCTATATTCTATGTTGACGGAACCTTTCTACTGTGTGCAATTAGTGTTAGTTTCATTCTCATTGCACACAATAGTGGGGCTTTATTACATAACCATATCATCGCTTCAGTACACAGTGTGTATCCTTGGTATCATGTGCATATAGGTTTAATAAGTGATCCCATTGCACATGATAGTGGGGCTACAAGCTGTGGCAATACTGCTTTCCATGCTGGTTGATTTACATTTCATCATTGGTAACGATTTTATTTTCGTGTTCATTTTTGTTTAAGCTGTTTCTATGCATGCTGCTATTGCCTTTGTGCAGTGAAATGAATGCGTTTACTTGGAGTATCTTGTGAATACTATAGGTGTGTACAAAAAAGTAACTTGTTCGTTTCATTTTAAAGGCACGTCTTCGTCTGGTGGACGTTGTTGAGAAAGAAGATGTCAATGAAGCTATGAGATTAATGGAGATGTCTAAAGACTCACTAACTGGAAGTCAGGAAACTACTAAACGGTATTGTGACTTTTAATTCCTTCCTGGGATTGATCTGCTTATGTTGAGACAATTAGCTTAGCCCTATTACCTCTCAAGTAGTATAGGTATTATAATAATGGGTATCTGAATCAGTAATCCTAATGTTAGTGATGTCAACAATATTTGTCCTAAATGCTGCGACCATGGCAAGTATTGTCCAATTATGCTCAGTTTTTGTCCAAACAATGCACCAAAAGCAACATTAAGTATGCAAAATGAGATAAAGCGTTTTCATTTGAACTTAGTTAGTGGTTGATTCATGTTCGGACATCATTATTAATCGTATCATTTCGTGTATTAGTCCAAGGTCATCTGTCGTTGTTTGATTAATCTTTGAGTGCATTGTTAAAGAACAGACTACCACATCTGTCTGATCATTAAGACCTGCAGTAACGATTTTTCCTTTGCCCAAATTCCATTTCAGAACACAAAGAGCAGAAGATGTTATATTTGGAATTGTCAGAGACATAATTAGGGACAAGAATGTCAGAAGCATCAAGTATGAGGATGCGCGTCAAAGTTCCCTCGCTAAAGGTTTCACACCAGATCAATTTGAGGAGGCAATCGAGGCGTATGAGGAGTTGAACGTGTGGCAAGTAAACGCTGCCAAGACGAGAATTACTCTGGTCCAAGTGGACTGAAAATCTGCTGTTGAATGAATATGTTCACTGTGAAGGTCTAGCACCAGCCTGATTGGTTAATCTAGTGTCACATAATATATTGTCATAGCAAATTGGCTGACATTAATATAGGAGTAATGATTGTACAAATCAATGAGTTTTTAAATAAAATATTGTAATTAAAAGATACCATATATAAACTCCTTTTAAACTGCCAATCCACTTGAATATTGCAATTGAATTTCTGAAATATTTTTTTGGCTTACCAACTGCCGTAAAATTGCTGCCCAGTTTAAAAATCTTCAAATGTTTATTTTCAAACAATACCACTGCATAGATGCATCTTGGACATTAGAGGGGGTATTAATGTTTATGTGTAAATGTGATTATTAATTTGAATTCAGCTGGTAATGAGATGTTGATTATAATCTTGTAGTAAATGTGCCTTTTGAGGCAATGTAAGAGAAATAATCACTTTGAAATCTAAAATACTATCTTGTGTTGCCTTTATGATTTTAGTTAATAAAATACTTGCAACATCTTTTTTTGTCGTGTTCTAAAGTGTTTTTCTCCCCTCCCCCAAGTACATGTCAGTATTACTTGCTGTAACCTACTATACATTTGCTACACATTTCTGATAGTTTAGTGATCTGCTGAGGATGAAGATGGAAATTTGTTCATGAGAAGTCTGTCTCTCAAAAATGATACAAAATAACTACCAAAAACTATAAAAATGCTTGTTGCTTCTATGATAGTGCTGATATTGACAATGTCCATGAGCTGGTTTGAGTTGACCTCTATTAATTTGATGGCTAAAACTTCAATTCCCTATTTTTTGTAAAAATGCTATTTGTTTATTTGAAAACTACCAGCTCAATTGCATTGATAATTGGTTTTTTGGTACTTCTAATTTATTAAATGGAAATCTTGAATATTGTGGTCCGTCAACAAGTCTTGCATATTTGTTGGAACTATTCCTGCCTGTGGCAAGTGAAGTAATTTGCATACGACAAGATGTATATTTGATGTGTGCAAAGCATGCAATGGGAGTTGTTGCAGTTCAGGTATCTCGGGAACCAATTGGATTTCAGATAGGGTGTGATGTGCAGACCTGATAGTTTCGGTGGAAATCTGAATGTTACTAATGTACAATAGTGTTGTATATTATCAAATGAGTGACAGGCCAATTGGCCTATAACTAGTTTCCAGTGTTGGTGCCATTGCTAAAATTTGAACCCTGAAAACATGCCATGTATCTTGTATACAGATCTACATTAAAATATTTGCAAGTGAAAAACAAAGATTGCATCCAGAGGGCGCCATCTATTGACACCTTGGTGAGGAATAAATGTCAAATGTGCCACCAGGCTAAGAAGCCAAGTCTATCACTGGTGATTTTATGTGCTGATTTATAAAAGTAGTCTATATCATATTTTATTTTTAAGGTTCCCATTGTCTAAAACAACAATTCGGTAAGATTTGGTTATGATTGTAGTTGAACAAGAAATATTCAAAATCACAGCTATTGCCCTTTGATTTTTTTTTCAACATGATTAATAAAACAAGATGTATGCATCAAGGTCCAATTTACATCAGATCTAGTTCCGCATTACTAGTATATGATTAAAAACTGGACTTTGGTGTATTTGTGGCTCTTTGACTGGCCCAGGCATGGCAATTTTATATGATAAAGTAAATTGATAAAATTTTTGTAAACTAGAAAGATTTGCCTCTGAGAATAAGCTTACACATTTTTTGGGGTATTCAAGATTTTCATAATGATATATACAACCTGTATTTTTCAGGGCAATAGACAATGGTGGTAAATCAGACAATCCCAAGTAGCATATATTGTGGATTAATAAATATATACACTGAAAAAATGCACATCAAAACTCCCACTTGGTGTATCTACTGGTATTTACGTGCCCAACCAATAAGGCCAAAAAACAATTGTTACCCTCAGTGGCCGACTGAAAAATATGAAATATCAGGTTGCGTTTTTTTCCCCATATACCTCAGCTATTGCGATACCCTTAGTTTTCATGAGTTTAAAAAAAAAAAAATAATCTGACCGATCAATTTTCCGACTTGAGGGCAACATAAGTTGTTTTTTCTGGCCTAATGGAGTCAACGTTCAGCCCTAAATGTATGGCTTCTTCAGGACTACAAATGAATATGTATGATTATAACTGAAAATAGCTTGCAAAATTTAAAACTAGATAAATCTTGCGCTGAATGGTGGCCATTTTTGTACTGAAAAAATCAGGCATTTCTCTCCCTCTTACAGATGGGTTTTGTTCAAACTTGGTACATACATTGACATTATGGAACCTGATGCAAGTCATTTTGCTTTTCAGATCAGATTAAAAATGGCCGACTGGCGGCTATTTTGTTTTAATCAATGCGGTTCTATAGTGCCATATCTTTGACTTGCTTTGACTGATTATGTTCAAATTTTATATATATTCATTATACTGGTACATCATAGATATACAGACCACCAGTTGGCCATTTTGTTTTAATTATTGCTGTTCCAGAGCAATATCCCTCAATATGGACAAGTACTCATTTTACCATCACATACAAGATGTCAATCATTTTAATGTTAAAAAAATCATCATAATCTGGATCTATACTCTTAAATAACAAACTGAGACTGTGCCATGCATGGCTTGTTTCATTTAAAATTATCTAAAAAGATGAGCTTATATTTGATTTAGTTTTTTCCTAAAATTCTGACAAAAGCCTTTTAAAAAAAGCATAGACAATGTTTGTGGCCTTGTATCAAGCACAGCTGAATATGCCTCAGGTTTTAAGAATCTGGAAGTTTAAAGAACTTCGAGTGTAATACTTAATTTATACATGTATATTAATCTGTTATTAAATTAACTTGTACGCTTCAGATCTTCATCCCCAGCAGAGTTCTGAACCGACCAATTAGATCATCCCTCGGCATGTAACATCCACAAATGTGCCGATAACCAGTAAAAGAAGAGCGGCCGTGCATCACTCTCCAGTTGTCCACCAATAAAACATTGCCGGGTCGTAATTTGAACCACAGTTCATTCTCAGATGATGCTACTTCCTTAGCATAGCTGGATAATGCATGGTAAAATGCCATCAAATTATGGTTGTCAAGGTGACTAATTGTTGTCCTATCATATGTATTAAATCTACGAAGAAAGAGCAAAAATGTTCAAGCAAAAAAAAAAACAGCGGAAGCAGCCTCGCAGCTGAGATAGCTCTGCTGTAAGCAATGCACATTTCAGTTAAAGAACTGAAGATATTAGAAAATGAACAAATCTGAGGGAAGTTGAAAACAAGAAGTCGAACATATCACTTTTTACCAAAAATATTCATCAAAATTAGAGAATTAAAGATATCATGAAATGAACAAATCTGAGAGAGATCTACCTGTAGTACCTATATGTATAATATCAAAGTAATTGAACTTGCGGTTTTTAACAAGAATTCGAAAATATCACTTTTTACCAAAAATATTCATCAAAATGAATGAATTGAAGATATCATCATGAAATAAACAAATCTAAGTATAGTCTGCACAACATTTGTAGTTTTCAAGAATAAGTTGAAAAATTAACAAGCAATGTTGCAGTCGGTAGGGCTTCGCTGTAATTGACAAGTGTAGAGGGCAGTGGCAGCAATAATAACATTATTCAGATATCTCCAAAATGTGACATGTGATCTTGAGATGACCTTGATAATTACTAATAAATATACACGTTTCACATATGAAAATTCTGAAGAAGGACATGAAAGGAGAGACTGGATTAGAAGAAGACCAAAGCTCGAGTTGTGTTTGTCTTATGACATATTTAGGTCTGTGCAGGCCTTTTATAGCAGTGGAAGGCCATGGTGAATGAAATCAAAACAATTCATTGGTTTAAACCACGAGCACGGGATTCATATTTTTGGAGGACTGCCAAAAGAAATTTGTGTGCATTTTTTTGCTTTTGTTTCCTAATTTTTGTTTTCTAAATAAACAAAATAACAGAAAATGTCAATATCAAAGGCAGTTCCACCATTTTGTAGCACCATGGTAGTTGATCATGCAGTTACCATTGGTCGGCTACGTTTTGTTACACAAGACTTAACCATGGTTAACCATGATCAACTTTCATCTGGTGTTTCTGACCATCAACGACCATGTTAGTTCAGAGTCGACCATCGTCAAACGCATGGTCACTTTTTTTTTCAAAACGCCAACAACTCAGAATATACAACACAATGACATTAAGAATATTCACAATAACAATTTGATAGGTGAACCTTCCTAATTCATTGCAGAGTACAAATTAGTAATTCCAGCTTACATATTTGTATAATTAGGTACCAGTAATTATAAACTAATTTTATATCAGAAAATTGAAATCATTAAATCTTATACATTTTTGAAAATGCTAAATCATGCCAGTTAGTCCAGAATTAACATAAGTTTAGGTAAAGTGGACATTTTAGTATTATTTTTTCAAGTTTGGGAAAATGATATGTGTAAATGTTTTAATGCAACTTGTACTATTACCATTATACTTACCTAACTTGTGATAATTCATTGGAAACTGGATCATGATATAGTATTGGTCCAGTGGCAGCTACGTGGATGTCTCTGTCAATAAATTGATGTTTTAAACCAACACGACTTAAAATGTCGTAGTACTCTGGATTTTTAGTTTTCAAGTTCTCAGCAGCTTTGAATCCATC